GCACGCACGAATGATTTTTGTTCATTTTCTTTTAAAAGGCGCAGCTTTGGAATTCCAGTGAACCGCCTGACCAAGGCCACCAGAGAGGGCGAAAAAAAATCTGCTAAACACCCGTATCTGAGTGTTTAGAATCTGTCATGCAGGCAGAGCATGAATAGTGCTCATGTCCGATGACTTTAGATTTATGTTATTTGTGCGCGGGTGTGTATGGCACGTATAGTGACGAGAATAATATTGTACATCGTTCCGATAAGAACCCTCTATAGCATTCGCTCTGATGCGTAAATGCTCTTTGAGCCCGACTTGTCCGCGTGAAAAAGAGACAGTTTCGTGCCTGCTGGGCTGTCACATTATGGCTATGCAGGTATAAACCGAGAGAAGAGTCTCCTTCTCTCCCGAGCAAGAGACTCGACTCTTTCTCGGGAGCCGGAAACGCCGAAAGCCCGAAACCAGCGCTTGGCGTTCAAACGCGTCCGAAGAGTGAGTATACAAGCAAAGGCGGCTAGTTTTGCGTCTGTCCACTAATCCCTCCAGCCGGAGCTCAACTCTCAATGGCGTCCCCTTTCGCTTAGACCTATTAAAACATAAGCCGTAATAAAAAAAAAAAGGCGATTTAAATTTACCGGTGTGCTCTTTTCGGGTTTCCTGCATTTTCAGAAATGCAGTCAGAGTTAGGTTAGGTTAGAGTTCGGTCAGAGTCAGGGTTAGCGAGTATTCTAAAGTGCATCTTTGGAGCCTCGAAACTCAAGTAGAGAAATGCCAATCAAGGGGCAACGCAGAGAACGCGTAGAGAATGGGCGCTGAAGAGGCAACCAAGTTCGCGTCATCATAGGTCGAGGTTGGGGGTAATCAAACGCACGTGGGCGAGTTTTGGGGTAAACAAACGCACGAGGTGGTACGCAAGGAACAAAAGAACTTGCACGCCGTATAGTCGCTGCCATCTCACTAAACGTAGGAAGGGACTTCATATGCGCACGCTTCGCGTTTGGCTCTTCGGATTCCTTATCGGCGAATGTCGCAGTCCCATTGGCCACGGAGTGTTGATAATTGAATCAAAACTTGCTACGCTCCCACGTTTTTTTTAGCTGTCAGTAACTTTAGGGGCTGGGACATTCGACAAAAAGATAAGAGTTTTCAACGAGCTCAAATCGCAAAGCCTAAAAACACAACAAAAAAGAAAAATTCGCGCAAGAAAGTAGACGGGCTATAAACGGACGCGAGACCTTCGCTCAAGCCAGATCGCCTCGAGCCAAACATCGACCGGTTTGGCGCCGTAGACATTATAACTTTCGAAAGAATTGCAAACTATCTTCGCACGCACGTCGGTATACCGCTACGCAATACCGATTAGTCGCGTCTTACTATCCAAGGACAAAGACACAACCGAGAGGAGAAGGAAAAAACAGATCGCTTTTCCGATCGTCTTAGAAAAAATAAACCACCGGTAGGGTCTCTGTCCGCGCGCCATTCGTCCGGGAAAAAAATATTCTGGTCTTGGAAGGGTTATTTTGTGCCCTTCCGCTATCATCCTCTCCGGTTCAAAGAGAAAAAAAAAAAGCTGCAGCAGCACGTGTCGAGGCCTCGGACACGCTGCGTTGTCCCGCTCAAGGCGGTCGCCGCCAACAGGAATTTCAAGTCACTGACAGCACGGCGACTTCGAAAGTGGGGCCCGCAGGGCGCGATTATGGGTTCACGACGCTGCTGCACCAATAAGAAATAGTAAAAAAAAAAAAAAAAAGGAAAACAGAGGCAAGGACAACGTTCGTCGGCATTGCAGTCGAAGGTACGGGCGAGCATGCCCTCTCCCATTTTGATCTCTGGCTAAAGCTGTGTGCACGCGCGCACTCCTCCATTTGCTCGGAAATGCCACGAAGTGCTGTTCCCGACTATGAAACAAACACATACAGTAAAAGACGTACTCCAACGACTTCACAAGTTACTTTTCTGCAATGCAAAAGGACGCGGGGAGCGTGCGTCCACTTCTTGGGACGCTCGAAAATCGAGATCAGCGTTGCACGTATACACAAATTCTGCCCCTTTAGGAACGCCTTGCTTTTTCTTCGGGGATGTAACCTTGATTCGAGGTTTGGGATATAATGAACTATGCGACAGAGAAAAAGAAGTAAGACGTTCACGATTATATTTAGCCTTGTCACGGCGTGCCCGCGTTCCTTTGTAACAATAATTAGGTTCTCCCCGTTGGCCTTTGTTCGCGTGTGGATTTCGAAATCTGCGACGATGACGGTGTCTAGTGGGTTCACGGCGGCCTTGGGCGATTTTTAGCCTGATCGCGTAGCGTTTAGAACGGTGAGAATTGACGAAAAACAGACGTGACTGACTCCCATTTATCCGAGAACCCGCGGTATTGCAGCGTCGTTCGAAGACGTTCTGTCAGGGCCTAATGAATGCGCTAAGGCATGTTATTACCGCTTCCTATCCAATGAAACTGCAGCAGAAGTATGAGCCTATTAAGTTAAAGCTGCTTTTGAGAGGTGTGAGCTTATTAAGTCCTTAAACTGCTTTTGTCGTGTGTCACACTGGACCATTTTCTTACGCTGCGTTCCGTTACGGGAACTTACGTCTGCTTACCTGGTGAATCACCGGGACATTCGTGCTTTGTACGAAGCGTGATGATCGATGCAAGAAGTATATCTTTGCGCGCGACATTCCAAGCAATGTATTGGTCACTCATAAAGTAACGTGTACAAAAACGTAAGTGAATGCTGCTATGTCAATGAGCCTTAAGTTAGGACCGACTCGTGGAGCAGCCGTATGCTCATGCCATTCAGTTACGAATTTAGACGAACGAGAAAAAGAAGTTGGTTGATTGGAAAAAGAACAACAACAAAGACGAAGAAGTTAACCGATAGAAGAACGAAATCGCCTTACACTTAAGCCTTAATTTGATAACCTACTTTTCTTAAAAGCAAAAAAAAAAGAAAAAGAAAACAAATTTTTGTTTTTAATATTTCTTACTATATCTGCAGCCATCCGAGTGAATAGAATCCAGTTTACGATTATATGATTTCCTTCGAATGAAGATTAGAAAACACTAGAAAACTAAAACCTATAGGGCTTCCTAAGCAAGCTTGAATTTCGATCATGGTGCTGTCATTCGACTCTGCTTTTCTTGAGAAACCCTACTACCTCAGGCAGGCAGTCATGCTTTCCGAAACTTGTTACATTGTAGTTCTTGTTGGAATAGAAATACACGCCCCAGCTTCAGGTTGGGCCTGATTCAGATTGACTGAGCAGTGGCTTGGTTATTAAGCATACATATCGAGCACAATCCTTATGTCGGCAAAAATGTTTTCTTTTAATATGGTTAAACATTCTTGAAAAGTTTCAAGATAATTAATATTGTCTTTTAGGTTTTGTAGGATGAATATGCTTTTTAAAGAACGCAATATATTTTTTAGATAATTCCTTTTTTAGAATGTCGTATAGACTCTGGTTTTTAAATCGCGGATTGCCCAATGTTATGAAGTGTAACATGTGGCGTAGGAGAATCTGTCCAACGTTACCTAATGTACGAGCCCTTCCAACCATCCTGCGAGGAAACTGAACTACAGTTTATGCTCTCTTCTTTTCTAATTGATGTGATCATTACGTAACTTAATTGAGAAGGAACAACTTTCTCGACTGTTATGACGGAACTTCCGTCATATTGCATGCTGGTCAGGCAACCATCTTTTAATTTGCAGGTAGACGAGCCTTTTTACATTCATTTCCTATAAAACAATACAAAAGAACGGCGAACAGAATAACAGTAATAATGAGAAAATTATAATTTATTTCCTCATACTTAGTCTCTCGTTTTGTATCTCTCACTCTGGTCTCTCCAGCCACTTTCCTCGAAGCCAACTACAGATCATTGCGCCACTTAACGGGCTTATTACGCTCTTGCGCTGGCCATGACGAAAAACATTCTCTCAAAACGGACGCGCACACATCTCGCCACAACCGCGAAATCCTGGCGTCGTCGCGGCAGCGGCCGACTGTTGATGGATTTATCTACTTTTTTGTGCAAGCATGGAGTTGTGCAGATCAGATGCGCAGCCCACGCGCTTCTAACGAGCGATTGCGGTGCACGCTCGCGGGGCTTGGCGATAAAGACTGAGGCATCGCAAACAAGAGAGCTTGCCAGATTGCTGACCTCGCACCTCGCGTGCTCACCTGCGCGATTCCTACACCCTTGCATCGACGCATGAAACACGCGCAACCAGGAAAATATACCAAGTCTGGAAAACACGGTTAGGTGTTTCTATGGGAATGCGCATTGTGCGGATATTTGCGTGAGGTGAGGCCTCTGCCTCGACGCGCAAACTGGATAGTTGCCGACGTCTGTGAAAGTGTCTCAGTTGCTGACAGTAAAAATAAAGGGAAATCGAGTCAGTCGCTTTGTTGTCGCGGAAACAAGAGGACAAAGCTAACGTTGAAAGACCTCGGACTCTCATCCGGTGGACCTTTCCTTCTTTCGGTGTCTGTAAGATGGCGAGAGGGAGCGAGCTACCTTTGAAGTGTGTCTGAAGCTATGTATGACTCATGGACTCGTGAAGCTTTTGTGATGCACATATCCGTGCAGCCATTTACGCATAATGGGACTGGAGATCGCGATTACCGGCTAACTTAATATATGCGTGTGAAAGCTTCAGTCTAGAGTCAAACGGTGTGCCGCTCTAAATGTGCGTCCATGGCGCTCAAAAGTTTTAAAAAGGGATGTTGATCGCTTGAAGCCTTTTCGACGCACTCCGGGCTACACAGCAATACAATTAAAGAAATCATGCCATGCACCATCTTGTACAGCAGCATCATAGACAATAAAAATATAGAAACGCAAAAACTAGTGAGCGACGTATTTTAGAAGTATTTTTTTCCCAAGCTAAAGTAGGTTCTAAGACACGAAGTTTTACCGTGTACGTTGGTGCCACTAAGACGTTGTGGATATTAACCATGAGCGTGCGTGATAATATTAGTGTATTTCATTCCTCTCATTTCAGTCGTCATGGAGGAGCAGCCGCGGTTCCATGAGTGGCTACTTCTTGGCGAGCAGAAGCATGCACTGGATTCCTGTGAGTCATGCAGTTCCACAACGTCATGTTTTACACTGTTTCAAGCGCATTTCAGATTTCCGGGTGCAACGCGTATTATTTAAAGCAAAATTTCAAGCGCATAGCTCTCCAACACATGGTCCGGCTCCTTTCGATTTCTTTGAATGCAAAGCAAAACCGAAATTTTGGAAAAGTTTCTCTAAACCTTTATTTTGAGTGAAGTGCATACTTTTCCTTTAACTTAACTGGTAAGAATTTAAAAAGAAATACTGTTTTTTTTTATTCAGATAAAAAAAAATTGTCGAATTTGGATGATTTCGTTTAAAACTGGACAATTTAAAATGACAAGGTCGAGCATTGAACCGTGAGCATCAATGCGGCGCCTCTAAAGATTCATGTGAATTTGTTTGAGTACAGCCCTTTACGGGAAAGGTTACGTGCCACTTCGAAGGAACAAGTTTTGAGCGGACGGCCCGTGATCTGGAGCTCTACATTCTAAAAAATGCCTGTGCGTCTACTTACCCGCAAAACACACGAAGAGCCAATCTCTACGATCTACGAAATCAGCTAAGCGAATCATGAGGCGGAACATCTTTTTAGACCTCAAAATGTACTCTGCGCTGTGGCATTACGCAATGCAAGCATGACGCTTTGCATTGCGTAATGCCACAGCGCAGACTTCATTTTTAGGTCTAAACGAATGTTCCGCTTCATCATTCGCTGAGCTGATTTCCTAAATCGCAGAGATTGGCTCTTCAAGTGTTTTGCGGGTAAGAAGGCGCGCAGGCATTTCTTAGAGTGTAGTTCAAGGGAAGTGTAAACGATGTATTGTCATGAAAACCGTAATACAGGTCAGTATAGCCAGTCACGATTTACGTTTGACGTTCTTGCTCGTGACGTCGTCAGGTTCAGCACAAAAAGGACAAGTGAGACAACTTCACTGTTCTAACGACGCTAACATGAATATCCTGGTCTTGCCAGCATTCTCAGAAAAAAAAAATTCCAAACGAAAGACAAAATGAAGAGAAAAACAGGTGCGTGCTGACAACGGTTCAGCCAGCTGAAAATTGGATTGATTTGGTCAAGTTATACAAAGCACTCAGAGTACAGCACTGGCAGACAGACTTTGTCATCACTCTTTTATTGACAGTGTGTCATGCTCTGGATGCCTTGGTTTATGCAGAATTTTCGCAGTAGGTGTATTTAATATTTTATAATATTTCTGTTTTCTCATAGAAACGCTAAAGACTCCGCCAAGATCACAAACGAAGGGGTAATAGAGACTGACATGGTGTATTTTTCTGTTTTTTTTTTTTTTTTAGGTCGGGGCGTCATTATTTGCCAGCAATATTGGCAGCGGCCACTTCGTCGGGCTTGCTGGATCAGGCGCCGCCTCGGGAATAGGCATCGCCGGCTTTGAACTCAACGTGAGTATTAATAGGCCATGGAAGCATTGTGAGCGAACTTTCCAGTAAGAAAGATGCGAATAAGAGTACCGACGACGTTTTCGTACACGATGCAGCAAGAAGAGAAGGAATGTGCAACACAGAAAAGTAAACGTTTCGATTCGGTGAATGACTTAGCCAAAGACACGCAAAAATGTAAATACTAGGTACATATATACTGGTGATTACGAAAACACCAACTCTTCGCGCTGAATGTTACGAACCGCATCTATAGACCTTTCAAATAATCGCCTCCTGCACGCTGACATCTCCGTCTGCTGGGCTCAGCAACGCGTTTTATGCACGCGCAGTTGCTCTCTTTCATGCAATATTTGACGTCGCACACCCCATACACCGATAAATAATGTGGCACTTTTATGGGCGATAATTGCTCTACTCCGTTTCACTCTAGGTTCAACACCGACGCCAACGCTTCGACACAATGCAGTCGATCAAACAGCGTCAAAAGTGCATAGTGAAGATATGTGGTGCCTTTGGGAGTGTCTCCGGCTAAATCAATCGCGCACAAAAAAACAAAGAACAGGATCGTGTCGCATACTCTGGTCCGGGATTGATTTATTCGGCGATAACAAGTGGCCCAAAGGCGATCAGCGCCGTGACGGTGCACTTTTCGCGCTGCCTAAACGTGTGTAAGATCGCTTCGAGTTCATGAACAAACAATCATCAATATTATACACAGTAAGAAAAGACGCCTTGAGGAACGCTTATATTACTTACATTTGTAATTAAGACACTGTGTCGAGCCTTTTATTTGCTTCTCTATTACCGAGAGTTCACACCGTTTTGGTATATATGGAAACAACAAAGTTCGACTAAACCTCCCTTTTATTTTGGTCCAGGCCGTGTTCATTCTGATTCTCCTTGGCTGGTTCTTCGTTCCAGTGTACGTCGCCTCTGGGGTAAGTGCAAAGTAATAAAATGAAGACTGTAGTGCGTAGCGGAATGCTTAATACCGAAAACCCGGCCCCCAAATTGTAACCATTTAGGCCTAGTTAGTAGTATAGCTACAAGTCAGACCAGCTGTGAGGTTTTAAATGAACTCTAAAACGTTGACTAATAGGGACACATCTTTGTTTTTATCAGATGGTAAGGCATTACAATTGCTCAATGTCGGACGACACGCACGTGCGCACTACTCCTCTAGTAGCGTTCTTGCTGGGAGCCCAAGGTGTCGACTGATACGTCCTCGCCGTACGTCGCGGAAAAAAGACAGATGCCGAGGTGTGATCTGTCGAGCAAATAACATTTATTGGAACATCGCATTATCAAAGTCTTTTTTAGCAAAGTGTAACACGACGTCGTGCAGGATTACCACCCAATGCTCTAAAGACTGCTCATTTGTTAGGCTTCTGTTATGTATTATTGCAGCAAGTGCAGTCTGTGATATTGATTGTGACTCACTTCTTAACGATCTCGAAAGTTATTAACAGTGTCATTAAAGAAATTAAAAAAAGTGAACAAAATACACCGAGGAGGGAAGACTCCCGTACGAAAGAAAGCAAGCCACAAATCTGCGTTGCTGAATCGTGGGAAACTTCTCATAACGTAACTCCAAGGGTCAAAGAGAGGCCAAATATAAACGGAGGTAAAATAAGATAGAGATTTTAGAAGTACTTTTTATATCTCGTATATGTTCAAATTAAGTTTATTTTTGTACATTGTAGCTAGCTTTTCTCCGCAAGAGTAAACATTTCCCATAATTCGGCATGCAACACAGGGCTCCACCGGTCTTGTTGAGAAGATCGATCAGTGCAATTCACCCATTGAATGGAAGCTCGGCATTGTTGTAGCGACAGTATATGACATCAGCGAAGTAAGCTACTTCCCCAGCTACAATTTCATCCGCCATTTATGGTAGGCTATGATGCAGTGTTTGTTTAGCTCAGGGGAGAAGCAGGGCTACCGCTATGCGCGATCCAATGTCATTGACGACGGCGTTTGTAGGGTGCATCTATACGGCTACTCGTATGAGTAGCAATGCAAATACCTATTTAGCGCGACACTTTTGTGACTAATAATAAGATAACAACAGCTTAGACAATGAAAACAACAAAAGTAGAACACTAATATACCGCACTTCTCGTGCGCTTACCGAGACAAGTTACACGCTGGTTGATTTGTGGAATGCATTGTTCAATAAGGCACGCAGCGTGATGATTGTTTCAAAATTGCTTCTGCAGCGATGCTCGCACTGAAACAAACAATAGGCCCAAGGCGATATTTTACCGTGCATTTTGAAGGTAGCATGCTTATATTGTTTCGAATATATGTGATGTTTATTTCTTTTGTGTGTGTGTTGCAGGTGTACACTATGCCCGAATATCTACGAAAGAGGTTCGGGGGTCAAAGGATACGAGTGTACCTTTCGGTGTTGGCCCTACTCCTTTCAATATTCACAAAGATCTCGGTAAGTCCTTTTTACTTACATTTTGCTCCCTGACTCAAATAGTCGATTATTTCACGTTTCATTTTTATTTTAAGCAAGCGTTCCGAATTTATAAATAAAAACATTTAATAAAAAATGTATATACAAAATTGAGTTCATATTTATAGGCTCGGAATACAAAATATGCAAAAACAGGTTTATATTATTGACGAAATAGAATTGGTTCGCCAGCTATATTGCATTCGGACTCATTCATAGTAATGAAGGGGACTAAGACCAATACGTAAGCTATTCTATTTTTATTATATTATTCAAATTGTAGTACTAATTCATCGGTTAGTGCCGTATTGTCACTGACAGCCCTAAAAAGTTCTTGTCATTTTCTTTTAGCTCCATAGCCAATGACGTTGTGGCATTATCAAATGAAACACGTTAAAAAACGAATCACGAAAAAAAAGAAAAGCTGAAGATAATAAGCCTCGCCCTAAGTTCCTTAGGCTGTCAGTCACTACGCACCGACTCGACTCACGGATGTCGCGCCACTGTGGTGGCGCTGCTGTCTGCACTGCGCCAGAGTCGTATATTGGGAGAGTTTGGCCAGTGGGTGTGGCGACGAAGGCGCCGGAGAGGGGAAAAGTAAATGAAAGGGAGGAGAGCGCCGAAGGAGCGAGAGAGAAAGAAGGGAGGAGGGAGGAGACGACCGCCATTTTTTAGCAACGCTGTCGGAGACTGGTCGGAGAAGAGCACAGCTGAGGCTACGCGTCGTCTCTTACGGGCCGACTTCTTTTTCGCCTGAATAAAAGTTTGTGGCCATACGCCGAAAAATCCTCATTTATTAGCTTTTTTACCCACCGAGGAATAACAGAATGTCATTTTCTTCCCAGAGCCAGCGATATAAAAGGCAATAATCGAGATTTTGATGCCGATCCCACGCATTCCGCCGGGAGAATGATCGAAGATGGCGGCCCTCCGCACTCAGCTGGGAGCAGCCGGGAGTTCACGCGCATGCGCTCATGCCTCTCGCTCTACGCCGCGTGCTGATTGGCTCACTTGGGAGGAGAGCGTTACGGCGGCGAGATCATAGACTGACCAAACTCTCCCCATATACGGCTCTGCACTGCGCATGCGCAGATGCATTGCCTCACGCGAATCTGGTCTCTGCGCACGCGCAATGCCCATACCCAGTGTAGGCAAACGCGGGCTTGTTTGCAAACAGTGTATTGGTGTATAGTAATCCGTCATTCCACCATGGCATCTGCCGTCCCGTAATGACAAATCAATGTTGCGATTCCAGGCTGACCTTTTTGCCGGCGCCATTTTCATCAAACAAGCACTGGGATGGAACCTTTACTTGTCCGTCTGTGTCCTTCTGGTGATTGCGTGCCTCTTCACTGTCGCGGGTGAGTACTTTTAGTGGTCAAACATAAACTATGATACTCAATTAACTATCGTCTGCTTATCCGTACTAAGCGAGATGTTTTGCCGATTGTTTTTGTAGGTGGTCTCAGTGCTGTGATATGGACCGACTTCGTACAAACAATCCTCATCGTTGTTGGAGCCTTCGTGCTTATGGTGCTGAGTAAGTGTCGTTTGGTTACAGCATTTTAGAACGTACTAAGACAAGCTTGATGGCATCATTGTAAACATGAACCGGGAAATATTTGAGTCAACTAAACAAGGATCGAAACCTTGATTTCCTTGTCAAAACACAGAAGACGTGTCTGCTCGTACTTGCCCCTAACCATGCACCAATCTATGTGTGAAAAGACGCTTTACGTGCCTGTTATAAAATAATGACATAAAAATCGGCATTGCTCCTGACAGGTCTCGTGGAGGTTGGTGGCTACGACAACCTGATGAAGGCGTTCGCAACTGCCGAGCCAACGAACACCAGCTATGCACGCTACACAACGAACAACGAGTCCTGTTCTAGAGTCCCCGACAACTACAACCACCTTCTGCGATCGCCCTCGGACTCTGAGCTGCCTTGGACCGGAATGGTCTTCGGCCTCACGATCTCGGCTATCTGGTACTGGTGTTCCGATCAGGTAGATACACCGATATGCCGGAATGTTTTCTATTTGCTCGGTGGGACCGATACATTTTATCAACTGCCATTGAAGTTCTGCCAAAAGATTCCCGATTTACGGATACCTTTTTGGTATACGCTGCGTAGTATACCACGGATACAAACGCCAAACTAGCCTTGGTGCATTTTAGCCAGACTAATGAGCTGTAGGAGGCACATTTTGGTGGATTCAAATATCCGCCGACATTCCCGCAGTTTAAGAAGGCTTGTAGGATAGTCGTAATTAAGGTGACAGCTTTTAGAATGATCCGCGGCTGGTGGAAAATAATTCCAACTTATTCACTCCAGAGTACCAGACGGCAATCTTTGGGTAATAATATAAACCTTCTGATATTAATTCATTTTCTGGTGGTGTTGCCGTGCTTTTGTGTCAATCGCGAACCGTTTCGCGCTCATCTTGGCTTTATTTTTTATTATCAACGACATCAGTTACGGCAGGGGTTGACAATGGCGGTGATGATTTTTACAAGTTTTATACACGATATTTAAAAAAAAATATTCGAGGCAAAAATGCAAGCAGCCTCTACCCTGTCCGCAAGTGTGTGCTTGGTGTTTGTAGTAGGTCGCAATCCCCTTTTCCTGAGACTCGGATTTCTCAGTGACGCTATTTCATTTGCACTGAATTCAGTGCACACGAGACATTTGTGACTCATGCAAGAATGTTATTTCAGGTTATTGTACAGCGGGCTCTTTCTGCCAAAAACATGGTGCACGCAAAAGCCGGCTGCGTGATGGCCGGATACTTGAAGCTCCTTCCCTTGTACCTCCTAGTCCTTCCCGGAATGGCTGCTCGTGTCTTGTTCCCAGGTAATGAAAACACGATAGCCGCATTTTAAAGCATTCTAGCCAACATTTCTTTCTGTCCTTAAACATTTCACTTTTTTTAATAATTGAGTTGTGCCATGGGAACTGCAATATTAACAGATATCGTTTCCTCTGACAGATCTGGTTGCCTGCTCCAGTCCAGAGCGCTGCCGTGATGTCTGCGACAACGACAAGGGTTGCACGAATATTGCATATCCCCTACTGGTCGTCAAGCTTATGCCTGTTGGTGAGCCAATTCACCTGATTCAATGTAAAAAAAATTGTTTTAGGATGACCATTTTACTTCTCTACGTATATTTGTTGAGCCCTCAAAAAGGAGGCCACGTTTGCTCTCTCGTCCCGCTGAAAGTTTCTAGGTTACAATATTTTGCAGGATTAACGTACTCATTTTCAAATGTTATTTGAGATATTTTATGAAGATGTCTAGAAACTCGGAAGGCTTTACAAATAACATATTATTAGTAAATGACAACTTAAGAAGCACAGAAAATGGCATATTACGTTCACGGCTCTTGCTTTTTGACTGGTTTATTGGCCGAATTGTAATAATACGATTCCGGAGACTTCCCTCGCCCTATGTTGCCTAAGCTGTCGAAGACTGCTTGACGGGAATTAGGGGTCTAATCATTCGTCGAACCCGCCAAAACATAGTAGGATAAATATGAGCAAGATAATTCATGCACTTCTTTCGTTAACCTCAACAGGGGCCCGCGGAATGATGCTGTCCGTGATGTTGGCAGCGCTGATGTCGTCACTGACGTCCATCTTCAACAGTTCCTCTACCATTTTCACCATTGACATCTGGAAGAAGTTCCGCAAGAGCGCGTCTGAGGTCGAGCTTCTCATCGTTGGACGGACATTTGTGGTAGTTCTGGTGGCCGTCAGTATCGTCTGGATCCCGATCATCGAGGCGTTCCCCGGCAGTCAGCTCTTCCACTACATCCAGAGCGTGACCAGTTTCCTGGCGCCCCCAGTGTGCGCTGTCTACGTCCTTGCCGTATCCTGGAAGCGAATCAACGAGCCAGTAAGCTTGCCCGTTATGTCAACAGAGCCCTTCCGGAACACCATCGTTTTGCTAAACGCGTCGCTGAGTGCGCTGCGCACAGTAAGAAGAAACTGCCCGAAAAACTGCTTTATTATAATTAGTGGCGGCCTTACAATAAGAGGAAGATCTCCTATTGGTGCGATGCTGATGTGACCACTAATATCCGTTTGACTTCACCGTTGTGAAGATAACGAGCAGGTTCCGTCCCACGGAAGATTACATCATTATAATAGTACTATGTCTTCGTTGTGTTGAACATAACTATGATCTGGCGATATTGCTCCGGCTGACCTACATTCTAAAAAAAGTATGTGCGTCTACTTTCACGCACTACACTCGGAGAGCCAATCAGCGCAACTTACGGAGGCAGCTCAGGGAAGGACAATGCCGAAACATATGTTTAGACCAAAAAACGCAGTCTGAGTTGTGACATTAAGCAATGCAAAACGTCACCCTTGCATTGCTTAATGTCACAACTTAGACTGCGTGTTTTGGCTTAAACATACGTTTCGCCATCGTCATTCGCTGAGCTACCTGCGTAAGTTGCGCTGATTGGCTCTCCGAGTGTTGAGCGTGAAAGTAGACGCACAGACTTTTTTTAGAGTGCAGTCAGTTTTTTTTGCATTGGACATTTGTACTTACTTCGGTGAGTGGTGTAGGGAACGTTGTTACGATATCCATTTTCTATCTTGTGAAACAATTTAACGCAAGTGTAAATAGGTCTCACCAGAAGGAGTAGTGTAGAATGGCCAGAGCAAATTATGTACTCGAGGAAGTTGTCGTCTAATTATTTATAGACATAATATATCAACTTGAAACAGGGTATGCACACTGTACGACACGGTTAGAACTAGCAAGCAATACCTAGTTTTTTTTTTATTACAACTAAAAGGCTATATTCAAAACTAATTTTGTATTAAAATGTAATAGGCTGGGGTACTGAATTCGACGGTTTATTTAGTGTTCTTAGATTCCGTGGTGTCTCACTACAAAGTAAAAATACGGTGGCGTTGCGTAGCATTGAGTTATACAGTTTTAAAAAAAATGTAAAACCTCTAGCGAATGGTTGCTATAATAATAATAGAAAAAAATATTGTACTCGCGGAAGTAAGCGCTATCGCCGCGTGAAGGCCTCGTGTTCGACACCTATACACTCTAAAAAAAAGCCCGTGCGTCTACTTTCCTGCTTAACACTTGGAGAGCCAATCACCGCAACTTACGGAGGCATCTCAGCAAATGACAACACCGAGACGCACGCGCTTTTTTTGAGAGTGTAGCTTCGTGATATGTTAATGTTGACTCATTGTACCGCGCTAGAGGAGGCCATCTGGTAGATATGACTTACGCTCGTTGTTTTTTTTTTTTCCGCTCTAGGGTGCATTCTGGGGCCTCATGGTCGGGCTGGTCGTCGGAATGTGCCGCTTCGGCTGGGAGATCTCGTACTCGGTGCCCGGCTGCGGAAGCACGGACCCCGATCCGCGGCCCCCCATCATCTCCAGCGTGCACTACCTGCACTTCGCCGTGCTCCTCTTCTTCATCTCCGTCATCACCACCGTTGTCATCAGTCTGCTGACGCCGCCCATTGATGAGAAGCAGGCAAGTCCGAGTTGCTTCGGAATGGTCTTACTGTCGCGTCGCGATAATCAACGGGTATTATTACATTCGGATTAAATCCTGGACATCTAAAATATATGTAGGTTGGGTGTCGCTCGCCGAAAAAAAGTGGCGTAACAAAATGTATTCCTTTTTAAAGTAAAATTTGCTCATCACACTGATGCCACACTGGCATCTTAAGAAACGCAGTGCATTTTTTTTAAAGTATTATGATAACGATTCTTGGTTCATAATTTGTTTTCCAGTGTTCTTGTCAGCTAATGCCGCAATATGATTGGCGTCGGGTCGATAAGTAGATGCTCCGAAATCGGCACGCTCTGCGGTGCTTAAGCTGCCTAACCTTCGTTTTCGTCCCAGTGTGCCTAACCTTGGTTTTCGTCCCAGTGTGCCTAACCTTCGTTTTCGTCTCAGTATGCCTAACCTTCGTTTTCGTCTCAGTGTGCCTAACCTTCGTTTTCGTCCCAGTGTGCCTAACCTTGGTTTTCGTCCCAGTGTGCCTAACCTTGGTTTTCGTCTCAGTGTGCCTAACCTTCGTTTTCGTCCCAGTGTGCCTAACCTTGGTTTTCGTCCCAGTGTGCCTAACCTTGGTTTTCGTCTCAGTGTGCCTAACCTTCGTTTTCGTCTCGGTGTGCCTAACCTTGGTCTTCGTGATGTGCAGCTGTACCGGCTGACGTACTCCACACGGAACAGCACCGAAATCCGCGAGGACCTCGAGAAACCGCGCAAGAAATCTGTGTACGAGATTACCGCCGTCTCCGGAGGCGTAGAAAACAAGGCGTTCTCCAAGAGTTCGGACAACCTGACGTCGCCGAACGAGATTGCAATGACGACCAGGGGTCCCGCGTCACCCCACCAAGCCATACCCACTCCTCCTAGAGGTTAGTAGGAGCTCTGAATCTACTCCGTCGATCGTTGCAGAAAATTGCTTCAATTCCGAAAGCAAGTCGTCTGCTCCTTGTGTAGGAGTTACGGTGACGTCAGATCGACGCCGAGCTCTGATTGGCTCTGATAGTGGGTAGACCTCAATGTCTTGAGGTCTATCCACTTTTTTTTTTTTTTTTTCAATCAGTCGATAATAGCTCGGCGTGCTGATATTATCGAAACCGGTGTGCAAGATGCAGATGAACTTACGCTCCACATAGAACGCATGCAGATCTGCTTTCGTGATATTTTAGTGGCTCGGTCTAGTGCGTAGAAACACTAAACTACAAAGAATTTGGCATTCGATGTGGATGATATTATCAGTCTGATGCTAGAGGTTGCAACTGATTCGGAGCAAAAATGCATTAAAGACTCGCGCTAAAACTGGCAGCTTTCAAAATTTTAAGTACCAAGAATACGTAAGACCGGGGTAGATATATATAAAAAAAAAAAAAATAAAGTCCCTTCGGTATCGCACCGCAGCTTTGTCTCGGAAGTTGCAAAAAAAAAAAAAAGTAAACTTGAATAAATCACTAGTGAAACATATGTGCAGCTCTAAAGGGTTCTTTCTGGCCGTTTGTGTGACGAAGGAGTTCGGGGTTTAAGCCCTGTATCCCGCCTACTACCTGTAGTCCATTCATTTAATTTATAATATAAACCTGCGGTTAATGAAGATCTGTCGGCCCAAGAGAAATAGAGGTCTCCCGAATATTGATTCCATTTTTTTAGCTGCGATTTCCTTTGTTTTTGAGAAGGCTGAACATTTTGCGTTATACCAATACCCAATATACCAATAATATTTCAAGTACTATTCTAGACTAGCTCACACGCTGAGCTACGAATCACAGTTAAAATATTAACATCCTGAGTGATATACGAAACTATAAATTATAGACACATATTTTTGGATTACCGTAAACATATCGCGCAGTGCACTCTAAAAAAAAAACCTGCGTCTACTTTCTCTCACAACAATTGGAGAGCCAATCACCGCAACTTAGAGAGGCAGCTCAGCGAATGGCAATGCCAAAACATATCTTTAGAAAAAAAAACAAAAAAACGCAGTCTGAGTTTTGATATTACACAATGCAAATGTCAGGCTTGCATTGCTTAATGTCCCAGCTCAGACTGCGTTTTTTGGTCTAAACATACGTTTCGGCATTGTCATTCACTGAGCTGCCTCCCTTTTTAAGTTGCGGTGATTGGCTCTCCGAGTGTTGTGCTGGAAAGTAGACGCACGTGCTTTTTTTTGATAGTGTAGAAGTTTGTAAATAAATACTTAATTTAGAGCTCGCGTAGAAATATAAAGTACTATCTGCGCACACCATTGCCCGAACACACGCCTTCGCACGGTGCACCCGAATCCACGAAATTCAGGCTCATCGAACGTTGCCGCGCGTTTTTCCTCCCGTTCTCCAGAGATGTCCGGCATCAAGAGAGCGTTCTTCTGCATCTGTGGCGTCACGTCAACGCACGAAAGGGCCGAAGCGGACGACGCCAACCCGATGCCGGCGCTGTCTCCGGCGGAAGAGGCGCACCAGGCAGCGGAGTCGCTCCAAGAGCACCCAGTCTGGGGCAAAGTCTGCAACGTGAACGCCGTTGTACTCATGGTGGTAGTCGCCTTCGTCTGGGGCTTCTACGCGTAGGCATCCGGACGGCGGACCACGTGAAATTAGCTGCTCACATTTGCTTGCTGTCAGATTACAGCGATGGCTGTTGTGATGGGCTCTGACCACCACCGGAAATCACGTAATTCGTTGGTGCTGTAGTTAGCGTAGTAGGGCGCAGGGTGTCCGTCATCGACGTTGCCAAATCCTTAAAAAAGATTGCCCGCCGCCCGCAGGAGTCGATCCCGGGCCCTCTGCGTGCCAAGAGAAGGCGTTAGCACAGAGAGCGACGCCACGGCGGCGTAAACGACTCGCTTTGTACTTAGGGTTTTGGTGCAGTACCCGATGCCCGCTGCATGCGCTCTCTAAAAAACAATTAACAGAAATAGCCGATAACAAAAATGCCGTTGTTGCCCTGTCAATACCAAAAGCTCGTTTCTGGAAACGCGCTTTCACGCGCTCTCAAAAAAAAAAAAAAAAAAAAATATTAGCGTTCGGAACAAAATGGTCAGACTCTATTTGGTTCCGAACGCTTTTCTTCAGGCACCACTGTGTGCGTGAACGAGACGACAAAGCCCAACAAATTCGCCGTGACGTGTCACAGCTGTCGCAGTAACTGTACTGTAGATTTTTTGTTTTGTTAGCCATGTTATGGTTTTGACAGCTTTAGAAACTCAGGGCACGGCGAGTTCCGATCACGTTATTATCGTACCACACGCTCAATCAGATTGGGGCATTAGACGACAAGGACGCCGAAGAACGAATCACGCGAGGCAAGAAGTATGAAGATAATAAGCCGCTCCATGTGTTTTTCAAGTTGTCAGTGGGTATACCCACTGACAACTTGACAACACGAGCAACCGTCGCGTTTGCGGACCTTATATACAAGGTCCGCTCACGCGACGGTTGCTCGTGTCGGCCTCAAAAGTGCACGACTCTAAAACATTAGGTCACATGGGAACGAATCGCCGAAGGCAGTTTGACGTGTCATGCCGTTTCATCCTCATTTCATTCCCCATTTTGTGCCCGTGTTCAATCCTTCCGAATGGGACTCTTCAGAAACTTCGCCAGCCTTTGGATGATTACAAGGCGTGACTGCCAGACTTCATCTGCTATTGCGTTTCTAGGGACCCCCTCCAAGTGCGCCATCCGGACCAAACATCGTATTTGTCCTTCCTTTTCATGCGAGTCTACGAACATAAAAGTACGAAACGAGGCGATCGTGTTTTGAATTACGTGTTTTCTATTTAAATCAAGTCTTCCGGCGTCAATAGTTTGTAGCTATAATCGGTTAGAGACCAGAGGGTTTTAATCCGTATGCAGAGAAATGGTTGCGGATAACCGGTTTGTGATATTAGGTCTCATGAATGACGATCATGAAGTATTGTAGCAAGGAATACGTTCGTACACATTTTTATTTTGGGTATTGGTCGCCGAATTGTATGCATAACCCTCATTCTTATGAAGCAAAAGTGCCGGCCTCGCTTTTAGTATAAGTATAACCTCATTTTCAAATTGTTTCAACAAAGCTTTTTAAAAGCCAGTAAAAATTCTTAGTTCATCGAAGCTGTGAGCGCCTGGCGTAAATTCGGCGAAAATTACGCAGTGGGAATTTTAATAACACAGATATAATAAAGTGCGCTGAATGTCATCTCTCTCCACATCGATTATAACTTTTTTTAAGTTTCCCATATTCAAAGACTCATGCAGAATGTATGAGCCGTGTACTCAGGAGTCAGGACTTAGCAATTTTGTGTTACATCAATGTTTACAGGGTGCTTTTAGGTTGCTATTTGTTATATTATAGAAATTTCTAAACTACTTTATATGTATATATATATAAATATATATATATGGGTGGTTTCATCTCAAATCGTGCAGGCAAAAAGGGTCGAATTTTTAATTTCGATGAAAAAAATATATGTTATGGCGCCGTTTTTAAAAACGCAGTCGCCGCAGACCGCAAGTTCGTCGGATTTTTTGTTCGCGACTTATGAATTTTTAAAGAGGCCGCGGCGAAAAGCAGTGTTTTTCACACCCGTCGTGGGTCGGATGTTTCGCTTGATCTCCCGCCGTGGATTTTCAGTCCACATTATATTATCTTTTTTAAAGCACTCTGTGGACACATTTAAAAGGCTCCAATACCATAAAATAATTTTAGGCGTTTTGCTTTTTTTCTGTAAAAATGTCAAAAACGCCCCCTTGGTCAATTGTTGACGAACTTTGACAATTAATTACTGGCGATCTACTTGGGTTACATCAATACTTTTTATGTCCACGGAGAGCCCAAAACACGTTCTTTATATGTATTATAAAATAACTTGGCTGTATAAAATATTCTTTGCGGTACGTTTACGTTAATGTTATGTGAAAACCAAAAAGTACCATTTTTGAAATTGATTTTCTCAAAAAACCCATTTTTTATTTTTTTTATTTTTTGTTAAAATGTAGATGTGATAGTTTTCTACGCGAAAATCAAGTCTAGAAAGTGTATATTTTGTTTGTATGTTTTATATTTAGGCCTCAATATCGGAAAAAAAACGTCTTTGTTTTGCAAGACCCAAGTCAGACATTCCGACCCATCCGTCTCTATGAATTGTGAAAAAGTTTTCTTGAATTTTCTTCTGCATTTTGTAATCAATTATAAACGAATTTTGTGGTATTGAATATTTATGTATGTTTTGATAAGAGCGGGAACCACGAGATACATATCTAACCAAATCAGCAGGCCTTGTAGACTTTGAATAACCAAAAGGCACAGACGTTGTATTGTTTCGATTTATAAATCTTTCACAGTAAACTAGCACGACTAGCTAATAGCTGTCATATTACTGAGACAAAGAAAGTCACCACATCCGTCGATATGTTATATACAATTCTTTCCGAAACCAAACACTGGGGGTTTGTTCACCGCACATCGCACAGGTCACCAGGGAATGTCCTTTCACTTCCGTAATACACAAAAGTGGTGACACAGAAACGGTCCGCAACACACAGAGAGTGTGTCATGGAGAGGGGTAGGAAATAAAAATAAATAAATAGGAATTAAATTGCCCAACTGCGATCTTAACGAAAATTGCGTTAAAAAAATAAAGTATTTAGGTTGGAGTGGTGGCAAGACGATAGGTCCATGCCTGGTGGAGAGTCAGACAAAGAAGTCGACGGCACGTAAAGGTAAAAAAAAAAAAAAAAAAAAAAAAAAATCAATAATTTAATAAAGACGGGAAAACTCAGCCGCACATGGCAAGAAGATAAACCAACTCCTCCGGGCATTCCCTAAATGGGACGCAACCAAATGCTTGCGAACACGCTCTCTACATCACCGCCTAGGCCGCTACGCCATGACAAAATAAACCCAACAACTGAACAGTGCTAACAAACAGTTAGTAAGAAAACATTGAAAAAAAAAAAAAAAAACGTTCAAAAACGCACCCGAGAAACAAAGTTCAGCGGGGCGAAGAAACACACACGAGTCGGTCCCACGACACTGAACTCTGGCAGGAGGACGGCGTCCAGATGATGCTCGAATCTGTTTTTCCCTCTGTTACGCACATCCACGACGGCTGTGAGGAACAGTGGCTGTGCGAAAGAAAGTGAAGAATAGATTTGAGCAGGCGATGCGCGAGAAGGTAACCGAGACTATGCCTGAAGCTTCATATCGGGAGAGGAGCTTTCGAGGTAGTTTCTGCAGTTACTCAAACTTTCTCTTTCCCCATCCCTTTTTCAAAAGAGCACATCAGCCGGCGCTGACTTTTCACCTCGGGAGAAGCCCACTCTTCACAAACGGTTATAGTTGACAAGGAGGCTGACTTCGACCCAACTAGTCTCCGGGCAAAATACAAACACAAGTATATTTACCAACACGCTCGTTTTAATGTCAGTCTCCGGGCTTTGCTGTTTCCAAAAGAGATAGCCCTTTATAAGGACAGAATGAGCGGGTTGGTGGGGATAATTAAACTTAAACAGCCCCTTCTCGTTTTCTTCCTCAAGTTTAATAGATAACCCTTCGGTGCTATCGGATCTCCCCGGAGAGAGAGAGACAGCACGACCGTTTCAAGGTAAGGATAGGGCGCTCGAAGCTGGGGCAAACAGGCGGTATCGTTTCACGCATGCACGGATGGCTGGTTTCAAATTTCCCCACATCCCTAACGAAACCGGCCCATCTTCGTGGGTGCGTCTGTGGGATTTCTGTCCCGCGCCGCCGGTTTTAGCGCGCACGCGGCGTTGTTTTGGCTGGCAGAACAGTTGTTGACCGTCGATATTGTAAGGCCATGGTGTCCTCATCCTTTCAGGCAACGATTCCTTTGTTTTCCCTTGTGCAATACTCTGACTGACTCCTCCTGGGTGGCTGTCACTGTTCGCCGCGTCAACGACACAATCGTACCATTTTACTCCTCGTGACACAGGGTGCGCTGCTCGCTTTACTGTCACGGGCCGTCCCATCTAACACAACGAGCGCGAAAGGTCGTGGTCATCTGCTGGCTCCGAAAGGGCGGGACGTTCATGCAGGCCAATGAGGGCCCCGAATCAATACGACGTCTGCCGACTCCTACACGTTAAAAATTTACGACACCTGCTGGTCTGTTAAGAAGTGTTGCTTTCTCTTTTTGGAACTCCTCCCAATGTAGCTTGCCGCCTATAATAAAATTTAAATAATCAATAAATATAACAGGGTGGAAATACTGTATTTCATTTTTATGTGGGAACGTTGAAAAAAATAAAAAAAACTATTTCCAAGCTTGTGAAGACGCGCAATTCGTAAGTCCATTTCGTGCCGTAAAAACATGTTTTTGTACGATATTGATGCTTAAATATAAAACATACAAACAATATATACACTTTCTAGACTTGATTTTCGCATATAAAACGATCACATCTACATTTTAACAAAAAATAAAAAAAATAAAAAATGGGTTTTTTGAGAAAATCAATTTCAAAAATGGTACTTTTTGGTTTTCACATAACATTAACGTAAACGTACCGCAAAGAATATTTTATACAGCCAAGTTATTTTATAATACATATAAAGAACGTGTTTTGGGCTCTCCGTGGACATAAAAAGTATTGATGTAACCCAAGTAGATCGCCAGTAATTAATTGTCAAAGTTCGTCAACAATTGACCAAGGGGGCGTTTTTGACATTTTTACAGAAAAAAAGCAAAACGCCTAAAATTATTTTATGGTATTGGAGCCTTTTAAATGTGTCCACAGATTGCTTTAAAAAAGATAATATAATGTGGACTGAAAATCCACGGCGGGAGATCAAACGAAACATCCGACCAACGACGGGTGTGAAAAACACTGCTTTTCGCCGCGGCCTCTTTAAAAATTCATAAGTCGCGAACAAAAAACCCGACGAACTTGCGGTCTGCGGCGACTGCGTTTTTAAAAACGGCGCCATAACATATATTTTTTTCATCGAAATTAAAAATTCGACCCTTTTTGCCTGCACGATTTGAAATGAAACCACCCATATATATATATATATAT